TGGCTCAATCCGTGCCAGGTGCAGGGTCTGCTGGCTGGGTGCTGGCAGGCTTTCACCCGGCACGGGCACCGTAGCCAGCCCCTGCTCCTTTAAGGGGTCTGGGTCCAGGAGGGGGGCAGATGAGTTTCTCTGGTGTTGGCCAGAGTGGCCACCAGGGAAAGCTGGGGAGGGCTAGCCTGCCACTAGTTCAAATTAAGGGGCTACACACCCCTTAATTCAAACTAGCTAGTTCGAACTAGGCTCAATCCTCGTAAAATGAGGATTTCCTAGTTCAAATTAAGCGCTCCGCTAGTTCGAATTAAATTCGAACTAGCGGAGCGCTAGTGTAGCGCCTATTAAAGTTAGTTCGAAGTAACGTCCTTTAGTTCGAACTAACTTTGTAGTGTAGACATACCCTGGTTGTTTAGCAGCCTTCCTGCTTCTGAGGAACTCAAACATTTTGCTATTATTTTTTGATTTTTTGGCTAGTTATTCTTCAAACTCCTTTTTGGCTTTTCTTATTATATTTTTACATTTAATTTGATGGAGTTTATGTTCCTTTCTATTTCCCTCACAAGGATTTGAGTTCCATTGTTTAAACGATGCCCTTTTGCCTCTCTCTGCATCTTTTACCTGCTTGCTAAGCCACAGTGGCACTCTTTTGGTTCTCTTACTGTGTGTTTTAAATTTGGGGCATACATTTAAGTTGGGCCTCTCTTATGATTGTAGTGGGTTTATGGGTGTGAGCCACTCCCCCTGTGCCCCAGCGGGGGACGGTAGGGGCCCTGCGGACACACTGCCTTAAGTTTGATTGGGGGAATCCCTGTCCAGGGTCTATGGTCGGTGGGATCGATGGGTGCGATCACCCCCCTGCTTTAGCCAGCAGAGGGGGCTCAGCTGACGCTCCACCGCGTTGCCCGCCTTCCGCAGGACCGGGAGGGGGGGCCCTTTTGGGCTCGACAACGAGCCATGGTGTCCTTGCGCCCCGTTCCCGTCCCTAGAACGGGTGTTTCAGCATCCGAGGGAGTGGGGAGCGACCCCTGTCCTCACCCGGCCCTCGTCGCCATGGGTCTCAGAGAGGGTATGTCTACACTACCCCACTAGTTCGAAGTAGCGGGGTAATGTATGCATACTGAACTTGCTAATGAAGCCCGGGATTTGAATTTCCCGGGCTTCATTAGCATAAAGCCGG